ATATATATATATATATATAATCTCTTCGCTTACATGTCATTTTTGTCCCATGATCATCAGCAAACCTTTGATGGCAGTTCAAACACAAACCTCCAAATATTCAGGCCCTTATTTAAAACAAAGTACAAATATCTACTGTTTAAAAAAAATGATGTTAATCAATTACAACAGCATAACCAAACAAATCAAATAGCTTACCATAAGATACAAATCTGGAAGCTCCGCAAATACCTCATCTACTGATAAACGGGGAATAATTAGCTACAAAATTAACTCATTAAGTTGGCCAACGAGATTATAACTGTTTTCCTTGACGAATCAACCAATCATCTCAATGTCATTGTTTTCAGCGTTTTCATGGTAGTTTGGGTTGAGGAATGCTATAAGATCGTGGAATCGAAGAGGACTGTGACGGGCTGTGTACTGGAAGAATACCTGTAGCAACGGTAATGAGAGACACAGAACAGGTCAATAAAGTTTTTCCCTATCAATACTTTAAAGATTATACTGCATTAACAGATGTGAGGAATAATTAAATGGACTGCCATAAGTTGTTTTGGTCCTGAAGTTTATAATAATATCAATTTAATGTCCGAACTCTTTTAGTACATGTTGAAATAGTCCCTAGTGAGGATTCTTTTGGCCCCCCACGGTGACTAATTTAGCACTTTATAAAGCCAATATAAATAATCAACGAAATATTTTGGCATTTTACTCATCGGACAATGCTCCCCACCCCTGCTCATGAATCATAATCAAGTTTCATGTAAATGCTTTACTCTTAGTTATCATTCACTAGATGAGTTAAAAATGTCTAAATTCATGGGAGTAAATAGTATATTACCAAGAGATGGAGTTGAAAGCGAAATTAATCGTTCAGGTTCAACTAGGGGAAATATGGTTTCTTGACTTGGAATAAAAAGGTTGAATAATTACATTATTCCTTTGAACTTTTCTTTTGTAAGAACAAAATTGGAAGTTAAAAAATACAATAAAATACTTAAGAAATTTGATTCAGAGTAAAATGATTAAAACTAAAAAATGGCTTTGAATCACAACAGATATGAAAAATGTCAAGAGGAAAACTAGTCATTCTTCAAGATTTAAAAAATAAAATGAAGTCAAAAGAAAAAAAATAAGGAAATAAAAAGAAGTTACAAATTTCTTAGTATAGAAATGAAATAGTTTATTCATAGTTGCGCCTGGAATTTTTAACTAAACAAAAAGACCAAGAATGCCAAAGGCAAAACTAGTCGGTTAATTAAATTTACAAATTTTTTTTTTTATTTTCGCTTTAGAATCTTCACTCTAACCAATACTGAACCTAATTCAAACAATAGAGCTATGATTTAATCAAACTTGAATGAACAAAACCTTGAATTGAACCATGCATGTCTGCAGTGAGGGTAGTTACTCATTTTTTTACTTATATTTTAATTTTCAATTCATTAATTCAATTAATAAAAAGAAATTCTAATACATATTTTGTATAGCAATATGAATGCATATTTTGTATTGCATATTGATAATTTCAGATATTTGCCTTTTTCAAATGGGGCAATTCTTTATAAATTATACACAAATCATATATCGTAGCAACAAGAACATCATCTTCATTCTTACAAAAAATGGTGGATGATATAAAACAAAACATTCCCAGGTGGAAATGCATCGATCTCTCCCATTAAGCAATCGTACAAATCCAAAACCCTGTATAAGATTTTGAATTATTGATAATAAAAATGATAGAACAATGTTAACTATATCCCCTAGTCTTCCAAGCTGACATTGTGGGTTCAATGTAGGCATAACTAGTTTTCTTTTATATTTTCTAAATAGAATCTATATCTACAACTAATAGCCAAAAATTGAAGAAATAGGAATAGGAAATAGAAAATATTTCATTTATTGACTACCGAAAAAGAAATTCTAGAAGGGAAAAGATTTCACTCATTACAAACCTTTGAGTAGCTATCTGCAAAAGCACGTGCACGATTTGCTTTTCCAATATATTGAAGGTCCCCCAACTCCAGCTTACCATCAACAATTTTTACACATTCATCAATCACAGAGAAACGAAGAAGATTTCCAGCCTGCAAACCTGACTGCAAATATTTACAGATTAAAATTGAATAATTCATGAAGCTGTAAATCAAACGAGATAGAAAGGATCAATAGAACAAGAGTAGACACAACTCATGCAATGAATTTTAGCAATCATTTTTGCTCGATGAAGACATGAATATGATCCATGGATTTGTTGCTATGGTCTCTAATAAGCTCACATGACAATATTAATAAAGGGAAAAACTTTATTTGATCTTATCATTAGAAGGGCCCAAGCTTAGTACACATATAAGATGGGTATATGATTAGCTACATATAATGTAGATTTACACACCATTGGATCTTGAGAAATTCATAATAGTTGTGCCTATTGGGATCATTCTTTGAGATCTCTAGATTAGAATTCAGAGAGTATATCACTTGAAACAAGGCTTGTGATAAAATTCAGCTCCTAAACAGTCTAGATACAATACATCTCAAAAATACAAACGCTAATATTTATTAGAATCAAAGAATCAGGTTCATAATATATCCACATCATAGATTTAAATAAATAAAATGAATTTGAACCTTTTATTGGCTTATGCAGGAATCTAATTTTGTATTGTGCAGGACTCTGATGTCAAGCTTATCAACAAAAACCCATGGCATTATGTCCCAAATGAATTTTGGTCCTTACCGAACCTCCAGATGTCGTTCGGATGAAACTAGCACTACAATCTCACAAACAATCATTACCAGAAAAACAGCCACTTGTTAGAAGTTTTCGTACAACAACAGTGATTGAGGAAATAAAGGACGGGAAATGAGATGCAAGTAGAAACAATAGTAATAGAGAATGGTTGTAAAAGTGGCAATTGCAAAAAAGCAGAAAGTATTGACATGCTATGGACGAGATTGACAAAATAAAATTTCCCAATAATCTATGAGAATGTTAAACATCTCATTATGACTTATTTGTTAGGAAAATTAAAACTGAGTTTAACGTGACCCGATAGTGCCTTAATCAATTTGCAAGATTATTGAAAAAGATAGTTCTAGAAAACTTATACATCACAAAAAAAATCTAGTCTCCAAGTTATGTTTGAAATCAGAGAAGATTGATTGTTGTGTAAAAGAGTGCATGTTATTTTATAAGTCTAATGTAACACAGACTTCATACAAATTATGTGATTTTTCTAGATTCAAACCTCAAGATTAAAAAAAATAAGAAACGGAAGGAAGTTACATACACATGTCTATTCTAACTACCACTTATGATATGTCTTCAGAGAGTTTATTTTTATACGCACTACTATATATATGACATGAGCATTGTTATTGTCGGTCTCAATCCCGGATGTGAAAAGTTGAGAGTTGTGTCAGGTAGTTGACAGCCAATGTAAAACTTGTTGAAAAAAACATGACATGAATATTTTTTATCATTGTGTAAGTGCTAGGGCATCTCCTGGAAGCGGCATGTTGTATGATCTAAATATAATGAAAAATGTGCAAGGGTCGCTATACCGGCGCCCAGATGTAGTGTCAAATAAGCAAGGGTTCTCACATTACGGACGGATTCGGATAAAGAAGTTATTCCATGAAACTAATATTAGAATAGGATTTTGGAATCTAGGTATTTTCACTGGTAAATTAATGGAATTAGTTGATATTATGATTCATAGAATGATAAAAATCTTATGTGTTCAAAAAACTAAATTGTTTGGAGAAAAGGCTAAGGAGATTAATAACTTAGGTTTTAAACTTTGGTATTTAGGTTAGAATCACACTAGAAATGGTGTAAGTGTAATTATAGATAAGAGTTTGAAAAATGATGTTATAAAAAAATAATTGAGTTGGAAATAGAATTATAGCACGTAAGATTATTGTTGATTCTAAGAATTTTAATATTATAAGTGCTTACGCTTCTCAAGTAGGTTTAGAAATAGGTTCTAAAGATAAATTCTAGAATGACTTAGAAGACTTAATACAAATGATACTTCTTGAAGAAAAAAATTTTATTGGAGGAGATTTAAAGTGACATGTTGGTAGAGTGATACAAGATTTTAGAAATATTCATGGTGGCTACGGTTTTGGAGTGATTAATGAGGAAGGTAGAGCTATATTAGATTTTGGTTTAGCGTATGACTTTGTCATTGCTAATTCATTATTCAAGAAAAGATATAACATATTATTACTCATAAGAATGAATCTAATAAAACACAATTTGATTATTTACATACGAGAAAAAGAGATCATTGAGAATATAAAAATTGTAAGATCATTACAAGTGAGTATTTAAGTACTCAACATCGATTATTAGTTCTAGAATTTCAGATGAAGAGTTTTAAAATAAAGAAAATTAGAAATCATCATCGCAGAATTAGATGGGGTACCTAAAAGATACAAATAAAATTATTTTATGAGTAAAATTCAAAATTTCAAAATTTGGGATGTTCATGAAAAAAGAAATTCTATATGGGTTAAAGAAACAAACACTATTAAACAAGTGACAAAAGTTATACTTGTAGAATCAAAAACAAAAATTTCTATAAATAAAAATAGTTGGTGAAATAATAATGTGCAAGAAAAGATAAAATACAATAAGTTATGTTATAAAAATTGGTTTAAATATAAAAGTTTAGAGAACTGACAAAAATATAAAACTGCCCATAGGAAGTCTAAGAGAACAATCTGTGTCACTAAAAATTCTGTTTTTAATAACTTTATAATATATTAGATACTAAGACGAGTGAAAAATATATGTATAAACTAGAGAAAAAAAGAGAAAAAAAGTAAGATTTAACTCAAGTAAAGTGTATTAGAGATGAAAATCAAAAAGAGCTTTTCTTAAAAAAGATATTCAAAATAGGTGGGTGAGTTATTTTGATAAACTTTTTAATGAAGTTTCGGAAAATAGGATTAGTGATCTTAATATTGTTAATAATAACAAAATATTTTATTTTTACTGTCGTACTAGTAAAAAAGAAGATGAGACTTTGAAGAAAACCAAAGGTGGGAAACCTGCAGTACCTGAAGACATCCCAATTGAAGTGTGAACATATTTACGAGATTTTGAAGTTTCTTGGCTTGCTAAACTCTTTAATATTATTTTAAAAACTAAAAAGATGCATGAGAAGTGAAGGAAGAGTATTTCAGTCCCCATTTTTAAGAATAAAGGGGATGCACAAGAGTGTGCAAATTATAGAGGAATAAAGTAGTTGTGTCATACTTTAAAATTATGGGAGAGGGTAATTGAACATAAGTTCAGACGTATTACAAAGATCTCTCATAATCAATTAGGATTTATGTTGGGCTGGTCTACTATGGAAGTTATACATTTATTGTGAGGTTTGATGGAGAAGTTCAGAGATAACAAGGATGATCTACATATGATTTTTATTCATTTAGAAAAAGCTTACGATAAGGTTCCAAGAGATATCCTTTGGAGAGTTCTAGAGATGAAAGGTGTTGATATGACTTATATTCAAGTCATTAACGATATGTATAAGAAAATTGTTACTTCTGTTGGTTTACATTAGGGTTCGGCTTTAAGTTCATATTCTTTTGTTTTAGTTACGGATGGTCTTACAGGACACTTACAACAGGATGTACCTTGGGGTATGTTTTTGCTGATGATATCTTTCTCGTGGATAAAACGAGAGAAAAAGCTCATGAAAACATGAAATTTGGAGGTCTACCTTAGAGTCTAAAGGCCTTCGTTTGAGTACAACTAAAATTGAATACTTGGAATGTAATTTTAGAAGTAGTAGCTCTAGTGACAGAAATATAACTATGGGTGATCGAAGTATTAAAAGGTGTGAACGCTTTATATATCTTTTATATATCTTGGGTCGCTTTATATATCTTGGGTCGATTGTTCAAAGTGATGGTGATATTGATAGGGATGTTATTAGTAGAATTCAAGTTGGTTGGTTGAAGTGTAGGAATGCTTCGGGCTTATTGTGTGCTTGAAAAGACAGCTTAAACAAAGGAAAATTTTATAAAAGGTGAAACCTGCAATGCTCTGCGGCGCTTGATGTTGACCTTTAAAAAAAGGCATAAAATTAAGTTAGGTGTTGTCGAGATGAGAATGATTAGGTGGATAAGTGGCTTTACACTAAGAGACAAAACGCAAAATGAATATATCAGTGATAGGGTTGGTGTTGCTCCTGTGACGGACAAAAATAGAAAAAGTCACCTTAGATGGTTTGGTCATATTAAACATCGATCATCTGATGACCAGATTAGAAGAGTAAATATTTTAGATTCAACTTATGTTAAGAAAGACAGATGTAGACCTAGAAAGACTTGAGCGTATTATATACAAAATAATCTTAATTTATTTGAACTAAATGAAAATATGGCACTAAATAGGACGCAATGGAGAAAAAGGATTCATGTAGCCGACCCCACTTAGTGGGATAAAGGTTTTGTTGTTGTTGTACTCCATATATGACATTAAATCGTAGCAAATCATAGGAAATCATTTCAATGAATCATCCTACAAATGGAGAAGTATGGAAACATTTCAATCGCACATATACTAGATTTGTTGTGGAGGCACGTAATGTTAGAGTTGGCTTATCTTCGATAGCTTCACATCATACAGTCAGACTATTGTTCTACTCTTATTGGTTAATGATCGTTATAACATATAATCTTCCACCTAAGATATATATGACGTCATTCTTTCTGACATTGATTATACCAGGTCTCAGTAGCCCAAAAGAAATGATTGATGTATATTTGTAGTCGTTGACATATAAGCCACAAATTCTTTTGGAAATGTTAGTGGCTATAATTTCCTCATTTGCCCTGTTCCGATTATCATTTTTATTCAAGAAATTTTCAGCTCAAACTTCTTCCTTTGTTGTTCACCTAATAAACTAGCCCTCAGTATTTTTTGATTCTCCTCTAGGCATATTCATCTGTTTTGGCAAAATTTATTATTTAATGCAATTTATCATATAATAATATATCGTACATGCATGACACCTTAAGTCGTATGGGCTACCCACCCCAAATCCATCGACATATAGCTCTGTGTAAATCAATTCATATTTGATCTCATTTTTACTTCTAAATCAAAAATGTAATCTAAATTCATAACGCTTTCATCATTATTTTCACCCAATAAACATGCTTTGATATCACTTTCTGACACCACAACCGGTCCCCCCTAAGGGTAGGTTGTAGTGCAACAAAGGCGAATGAGTCGATCGGACTAAATTTTCACTAGCACTCATTCAAGATCAAGTGACTGATGAAATTGTTTACTTAATTAAATTATCACAAACATATTTGATACATTTCATTTCTTAATTTATTCAACTTCATATACATTCGAAAACATGGAAATTATATCATCAAAACATATATATCTATACATAGAGTTGATAAATTTAACATGATAAGAGTACATAGCCATAACTATGAAATGCAAAAATTATACAAATCACATATGATTATTCGTCCTGATTACCCCTTCCCAAAAGTTAACAATAAAATTAGAGTTAGCAACAATAAACTCAGCAAAATAATCAATGTCAAAATAAGATTTTTAGATAAAAAAGTACATGCATGCTCAATAATAACTCATGTATATGTCCACAACACATATCATAATATATTATAAATGTATAAAACATTTCAAAGAAATGTTTGTAATTAAGAGAATCATGATTGTTGTATAAAATATGCATTTCATTCATTCAGGTATAATTATTGGCATATTTATAATAAGGGTCCTAAAGCTAATTATAGGATTATCACTTGTAATCATATAAGTCTCAACTATTTTCATATCATGACATATCATTGGGTCGTCACTCATCCTGAAGGCCACATTAACTATTGATAAAGATTGGGTCTCCCCAACATAGCAATTATCAATAGCCCCTGGTACCATCGGATCTCCATTTGATCCCAACGGTTCCAGGAGTTTCATCTTTATTTGAATACAAGTTGGGAATCTTATTGTTCCATATCAAATGTACTCGTAAATATTCATGTAATAGTCTACTTATAATTTTATTTGTGACATTTCTTAAATCATAATTCATGTGACATGCATTCATAATAAGCATTTCATATATCACATGCATGAATCATAGTAAATGAAAACCTGAGAGTAAATTATTTCATAAATATATTAAACAAATTCATAATATAGTAATATCTTAGGTATTGTAAGTGACAATAAATTTATATTCATAGAATTTATGCAGATATTCATCCATAATAAAGCAAAAAATTTTACATGCAACAGTGTTAAATACATAATCACATTGACTTACAGAAAGTTATTTTTCTTAAGTTAGCACAAGATTATTTCACCTAAATTAATAGAGAAGCCCTACAAAAAGTTTCCCCAAACTAGTCTCCTGGTTTAAACAACCTGAAATTCGTAATTTCATGAAATCTTGGCTTATTCATAATTTAAACCCAAACACAACTTTCTTACCTCAAATGGGTTTCTCCGCATAACCAGCTCTTCTCTGATACTTCCATTCCTCTTCCCCCTTCCTCCTATCCCATTCACTTCATTGATTACTAGCTAAGGACTCAGATAGATGCCCACAAATCAAATTTGTAGTCTCCGACACAAGATCGCCTCCCGCTAAGGCGACCAAAAATAAAAAGTGCACTGATTCGTGGCAAACATTAAAATAGAAAATTAAGAAAAGAAAGGAATGTCTATAATATCATAAAAGAGGAATAGCTACTCACTGTTACCTCCTAGAACTTTGAATTTCCGTCTACAGCTCACCTAGCTACAGTTCATTCGTCGCAGATATGCTTCAGCCATGCGAAATAAGGAAATGCGAGAGGGAATGGGAAATAAAAAAGGTATGTGGCAATTTAACTTACTCCCTAAAGTTCTCAGTCGTTCAATCAAATCAAGTCGATGCATGCATAGCTAAGTGCAAAGTGGTCGGTTGGGAACAGTGCCGAGGCTTAGAGAGTTTAATTAGGGTGTTTAAGATTTAATTAAGTCTACACTTTATAATTTTGTAACTTCTCATCCGTTAAAAATTCATACATAGTGTTATATATCAAATTGATCGATATGACACATAGAATTTTATAAAATTGATAAGATCAAAAACTAAGCGATATGAAATTTGGGATACATTTTAAAGCCACCAAAATTTTAACTGATTTCTTAAAATTGGGTGTTACAATTAAAATTGAACAAAATTAAATAATTGAACATGCAAGAATGACCCCTGGGCAATAGTAAAGCTAAGTAGCCATGGCTCTTTCAGAAAACAGCAATCATTGGACCATAGTCTGCCAAAATGAGGGCTTCTGAACAGGCAAAAATGGTACTACTGCTGATTGAAGAAGCAAAAACGGAGTCCCAGAGCTAATTTCTCTCTTAAAATCTAGGAGTTCTTATTGCTCAGCGTCCCTGTTGATACAATACACTAATGAGCACTGAATACATCTATAATGCTCTAAGTTCACCATCTCCTAGTGCAGAAAATTTATCACAAAAAAAATACTTGATTTAACTTTCCTAACATGGATAGTTGAGAACACCAGGAGTGTTAAAAGGTAGGAAACATGTAGATGCATATTCAATTAGATAAATAGATAATAAACAAAGTGTTGACCAGAATGATTGTGAGCTAGTGATACCTTCTGTAGAAAATCTCTCTCCAAGAAGCCCAATACAATTGGATGGTCATCAGACGTCATCAAATTTCCATCCTCTTGCAACTCCAAGACAACCTGTTCATTTTGGCAAAAAAAAAAAAAAAAAAAAACTCAGCAATTACTAAAAAAATGTGCATGATATATATATTTTTAGAGTAACTTAATATTCCAAAATCATTTCACACTCAGGGATAGCACTCTACATTTTAAAAAATATTCTCGTAAAAAATTAACTTTGGCATTAGATGGTACCAAAAAAACCAAAAAGCGTGACATACACCTTATTAGCAAGCACTCGATTGCTTCAAGAGATTAATTATCAATAAATAAAACTGAATTGTCATAGAATAAGAAGTACACCTACTACATGTGAAGAGAGTTCAAGTCATACTACTTCATAAGAATATAAGGTTTTTTACTACCATTAATGATCGATTCCACCTTACCAATTTAAGCAGTGGTGGCAAATGGAAGCCTCTGTGTGATAAGATTATTCGTGGAGTAAAAGATCAACTTGCAAAAGGACTAATCGCTAAAACAAAGCAACAACCCACCTTCAAAATCGAGAACTCATTTTCCATGAGAAAATTTAGGATTAGTTTAACTGGAACTCCTATATTCAAATTAGAGTTTGTTTAGATCTAGACACAAAACTTTCTATGGGCAGAAATCCTAATTATTAATTACCCATCTTACTCATGAGAGAGCATTCTCAATTAATAGTAGTTTAATATTTAAATTTTAGTTGAGTTGATGAATGAAAATTTGGTGAATGGAAGTAGCCCTAATAAAAATCACTTGATTTTGTCATCTTTGATGTATCAGCAGTCTCAACGGAGAGACTGCAACTGACAAGTTATATATATGATATGTCTGATATGAGAGACTTGATTTACAAGAGAGAAACTGCAACTGACAAGTACTAATTTATGATGTGATTGTGATTTTTTTGTATTGTTTAAACACTTTATATGTAGGCTTGAGATGCCTACAAACTTTTAATATTTTGGATGTTTCAATTTTATCTGTATTTTACAGATGTTTTATTAGTGGCTCTTTTACAAATTGGAAGTTTTAAATCTGAGGGCAATTTGTCCTAAGATTTATCCAAACTATCAGTTCTTGATTTGGTTAATTCCAAGCTATCAGCTTGGACGTGACACACAATCTCATGCATAACCCCAACTCTAAACATATTAACCATATTTATAATAAACAATAAAAAAATAAATGATTAAATTGTCCATAGGATAATAAAAAATAAATTTCTCTTAGGATAATAAAGACTAAATTTCCATTAGGCACCGTCATAACATTACTCCCCCCAAAAAAACATGCGTACTTAAGGCGGAAAAATTTGTTCTGTCATATGACTCCCACTTGGCATCATCATCTAGCAATCCTTTCTATAGAATAAAAAACTCGTAGTGACCCTCAACATCTCAAATTATCATCTTATGCAATCCTTCAGTAGCATCTAAATCTAATGGTGCCCTAATTTCAAGTAAATCTTAGAGAATGTTGCCACCCCAAACAACTCATCCAGTAGCTTATCAATATTGGGAATCTCTACCAATTCTGTATCAAGTGTCTCTTCCATGTTATGCAACTCAATAAAAAATCTTGGCCCTGCATCCTAAATTGTCATCACCACGGTCTTGAGTGTCACCAAAGTCTCACAAAAATTGGGGTCACCGCGAAGCATCATGATCTTATCTCCCTCCTAAATAATATGCACTGTCAAAACCAATACCTTACAAAGTCCCATGTTCTTCTCCACTTGTCATGTTTTCATCATCACTCTAATGTTCTTTAGCCTGAAAAACTACCTTAGCAAAAGGTGTTAATGCAGTTGGAGGCAGCCCTCTGCTGGGATTATAGCTACCGTGGTTCACTGGTCAAGGCCGAAACTCTTCGAAGAAATGTTCTCCGACTCTAAATCGGACGCAATCTCGTTCTGCTCACAACTGCTCGTTCCAAACCTCCAGATGTCATGCAATTTTCTCCCGAGGTTGCCCCTCGGATCCAGTCCCGACTCCTTCACTCAATTAAGTCTGCTTTCATTTGTTATGGTCGTAAAAAGATTGCATTATTTCTTCCAAGCATTGTCGTTTCTATCTACTCCTAATTCCTTGGCTCAGTACCTCAGTTGTCACGACCCGATCCTCGGCTTGGAATTAACCAAGCCGAGTATAGACGATTGGGTGGTGTGAATTAAATTTTTTATATTAACCTTCAATTTAATAGATAAAATAGCCACTACGAATCAAATTAAAGCAATACAATTAAAATTACTTCGTTGATGGTTATTTGTGTCTTCTATAAATGTTTTATCGTTTATCGCTCATCTTTTGATAATTTAATTAAACCTAAAAAATTAGTTAAAATAACTGTGAGCAAAATAAACTAGTGAATAGTTATATTTCTAAACTATAGCAATACAAGTAAAAAAAGAAAATTATGCATGTCAAATAAACTTCTTTATAAATTAATATAAACATTTTACATGTTATTCAAATGGGTCAATATCATTATCATATCAATATTGTTTCATATCTATACAACCGTCACAGGTGGCACGGTTTAAAATTTTATGTCAGTCACAACGCATCAAATATCAAGATCCTTTTACATTTACGTGCACAGGTACATTAGTGTTCCCTCATTAGTACCATCACGGGTTGCTCTATTATAGCCAGTCAAGTATACACAAGCAATCCTCATAAACATATGTATTCATCGCATTCAATTCAATATACTATATAAAACATATACCAAATGGATGAGTAAGTAGCTACAACATCCATAACAATATGACTAATGAAGAAAATAATATCTCAATCAGAATAAAGCACACATAAATATCATTAACTATAAAAATATTTGATAATAGACAAATTATTATTATTATTTAAAAGTACAAGTACTCACCTTAACAGCGGATGATTTTTTTTTGCTATTAGAGTTGGTCACCACTTCCAAATTACCACCTATAAAATATAAAATAATCAAGTTACTAAACTTTATTATTATTATTATTATTATTATTATTATTATTACTTTAATTAGCAAACTTCATTATTAGATAGCAATACTTGAACTTTAGGTTTGAAATTATTACTTATAATATTTTCATCAATGTAAAATTTATTAATATTAAACAAATTGAACAAAATACCCCATTATTAATAATTTATAATATACTTAATATATTAAATTAAAAACCCCTACCTTTCTATACTCTCGACCTGAATCGCTCCTGCATGCTTCACCCCTTCCCTCTCTTCTTCTTCGAATTTATTGCACAGAATCACATGTTGTCACCTCTGCAACTTCCTCCTCTTCGATTCCTGATGCTCGTCACCGATATCCTCCGCTGTTGCTCCTCTTCTTCTTTGACGCTCGGCTAGGGCACAATCGCATGTAAGGAAGCTCCTCCTTCAGCTCCTCTTCTTCATGCTGGAATAGAAGCCCCATCTCTCTCGCGTGTATCCATCTCTGCACCACTCTACGCAAGAAAGTTGAAGCTCTGCCACCTTTCGCTAGGGTTTTGATACCAAAAAGGATTAATTTGATGTTAAAACATACTATTTCATTCAACAGATGTGTTTAAATAAGTGTTACAATGTTTAACAAATAAACCCAATAAAACTCTCTAATTATACAACCCAATAAAACCCTCTAACCACACAACTCACAACAGAAACCATTCCAGCAAAAAATGTCAAGGCCAAGGGCTTAGAAATTTTAAAGTGGAAATAGATGGTCAGACAGTGAAATTAAAATTTTTTATTTTAATTTTCTGTCACTAACATCTAAAAAAATTAAATGAGCTAATAAAAAAAATAATTTACTTGACCAAATAAAAGTTTAACTTTCATGTTGTTGATTTCGCCTTCTGTTCACATTTTCTCTTCACATAGTCATCTTCTACTCAAAAACTCTAATCTAAAAAAAAATTAAAACATAATGATTTATTTAAAATAACTATGTAGAATAATTACAGTTCTAAACTAAAGTAATTCGAGAAAAAAAAAACATATTTGTTAGTCTATCCCACGTCGTTATAGAAAATCAAATAATAACTTATGTAAAATATACATTACATTTGCTCATAGAATGAATCCTAAAATTTCTACATGCAATATCTTTTATTTTACTTTTCAAGCTTTAATCTTTTAATGTTAGTATACTTCATACTCTTAAAATTTGACATTTATGTCAGAAATACTGTCTAAACATAACCTAACACACCATTGTGTGATACATATACGGTTCACTCAACATAACGCATAAGTCGAAAGGTGTCTACCACCCCTAACCAACACTCTCGTTGGCATAGCAATTAGTAAACTAAAATTCAAAATTGTCTGAGATGATAGGGTGTCTACTAACCTCTTTTCAATTTTCTCATCAACATAATAGTTAGTGATCTAAATTTCACAATTGTCTAAGGTAGTAGGTGCAGACACATTGGCATCCTCACTGATACCATAAGAGGGTGAACTCCTCTTAGCATGCACATGCAAGAAATCATATATATAATATTTTTATTTCATTCATCATAACACACATTATTTCCTTATAAAATAATTTATATTTATTTACCAATGAATAAATGCACCTCTACCACATCTAAAAGCCATATAATAATTGAGATATGCACCTCTACTAAAATCTAAATATCATGAAATAATTTAATAAATTTATAAGAAAATCCTTATGCAATTAGTTAACACGCATATCTTCCTATCAAATAATATGACGAATCTATTATGATTTAAATTACAATGGAATAAAATATAAAAGCAATCAATAATAAATTTGTAAATAAAAATATTATTTGAATATTAGAAACAGAATTACTCATATTAACCTTACTTGAATTCAAATATCTCAATTTATGCATCTTACAATCATCTAATCTTAAATATTGATTGCTTAAAATATATTCCTTTACTGTTGTCACCCTTCTCAACTCAAATCAAATGTCATCCTTCCCTGCTTTCTGATTTTTGTCATTAATTCATAAAACAATAATCATTATGATTCATATAAATATGTTAAATTCCAAATTAAGAATTAAAACCTTACCTTACCTCACCTCACCTCACTGAACTTCTTTCTCTGTTGTACAAAAGCTGATCTTGATCTCTCCCAATCATTTAATTTAATTTCTTAGTTGTTATTAAATCATAAAATTTAAAATTAACTTAATAATATTTTTTTACTAAAATAATTTGTATAACTAAAAAACATAAAACCCATAAAAAAACCCTTACCTTCTTATGAAATCACAGTTTTACCTTCCCCATACCACAAATTTGCACGCAAGGGCTCGGTTTCCCACATGAATTCCTTCTTTTTGCACAACATTTCCCTGCCTCCTCCTTTCTCTCTGATTTTTCTCGGTTGCCTTCTCCCATACGAAGAGCCTTCTTCTTTCCTCCATTTTCTCCTTTCCTTCGCATCGGGAGCGGTCAAGCCTCCCTTAAGCGAGAAATAAGCACCTTCACTGCAGTAGTGGTGTTGTCCTCTTTCTTCGCAAGCGCACGTGTTCGGCCTTCCCTCGCACTACTCTGACTTTGACAGACAAATTCTCCTTCCAAGCCTTGATGTCAAACGCCGCCCTCCATCTCAATGATACTGCCATTAGGGTTACACACGTGAATCTTCTTCCTTCTCTGTCGTTCTATGGCTCGAGTGGAGACATTATTCTCATTATAAAGAAACTGTCAAGATGATTGTGCTCAAACCATTCAAACTAACTTAGTTATTTTTTAACAATTATTAAAATCTCCCCATACAAAATTTCATACTCAAAATTTATGAACTTCACAAAAGCTAAAGATTATGTAAATGAAACATGAACAATCCCATTTCAAGAAAGTCTAATTCTATGCAATTTATATCATTAATTGTTGTGCTTCCGCAATAGTATCAGTTAGGGGTGAGCAGACACTTTTCCACCTTAGACAATAATAAACGTGTTATGCATTCGGTTGTGTCGATTGGGTATTTATCAGTCAGGAATGTGTTTTGTTATGTTTAGACGGTAATCCTGAAATGAATATAAAAGTTAAAAGTATGAATTATACTAATATTAAAAGATTAAACCTTAAAAGTAAAATATATTCCATGCGAAAAATTTAGGATTCATTCCACGAGCAATGTCATGTATATTTTATATAGATTATTATATAATTTTCTATAATAGGAAAGAAAAACATACATATATCGTCTTCTTTCCTCGAGTTAACGTTGTTTAGAAGTTTAATTACTCAACTGAGTTATTTTTGATAACTCATTATATTCTTTTAAAATATTTGTCAGATTCAAGCTTTTAAATAGAAGACGAGTACTGGAAAAGATAAAGTGTACAAAAGGCAAAGTCAGCAACCTGAGAGATAAACATTTAGTTGGTCTATTAAATTATTTTCTTTAATGACTCTTTCAAATTATTTAAATTATAAATTATTATTAATAGAAAATTTTAATTTCACCATCCGATGGTCCTTCCGGCGCTTCCAAGCCCCAAGACTGGCCGTGATGAAATACAATCATCTTTATTATGAATTGAACATTAGAGTAACTACATACTATATATTTATACCTGCTGTTGGGCTGGAACATGTCCTTTGCTGTCTGTATCCAAAACATATTGGCTACAGAGATCATCCTTCCATACCAGTGCTAATGGAGTGTTTCCCGTTTGATAGTGTGCATGTCTGAGGCAGAACAGGAATTTGATTGAAAACAGAGTTTGTTCAAAAAACTATATTCAATGGTTCTAATAACTAGCCAATGGCAAGCATTGATATCTGTGAAAGCATTAATTATTGATAGCAAGATAAACAAAATTATCATTGAGTAGTTCAAAAAACTATATCCATGGTTTTGTTTAAGAAGAAAATGTTGCAACACAAATGCAGAAGCAAAGTTATAACACAAGGCTGTAATTTAATTTTTTACATCGCATAAGATAGTCAAAATCAAGCTTAAACTGCTCAAAAACAAGAAAAGTATTACAAATACATGCAAAGCATCATCTGCGCAATTGGTGTGCAATGAAACAATAATTAAGGAACAGACATCAATGTTTCAAAATTTGAATTCTTAGGTAACATGCATGCTTGGCACATAAATATTATTTCTCTGTTTCTGTGCCTGAATACGCATATTTATGCATGTACAACACAACTTCACAAGAATTTATGTATAGATGCAAGAATAACTACGAAGGCCAATCTCTTACCTGTTGTAAAACAGTAGACCATCTTTGACAAACGTAAAGCTGCCTGTATATGCTTTATGCAAGCCTATCTGGTTACAATCACAAATTGGTACAACACTGAATCTATACCTATGGTATGTTGAAGGCGGATTACACGCTCCAGACTCTGAAAGCTTCGAGTTCAACCAAAAGAATCTGAACTCCGCACTACAGTTGTATAATGAGTATCCTCGCCAACAAACCATATCAATCACGTAATATGTTTGATCAAACTGCCAGATAGCATCAACATTAATTGCAGCTCAAGAAAAAGTATGTCAATAAAGTAGGAAGTAATGCAACTATTTTAAGAGCACACCTCGTGATATATGCAATCCAGTATACAATAAACATGTGATGGAGCTGATATATCTTTATTCCTGGCGCCGTTAGGCAAGAAAGATGGAAAATGATGTAGAACTGAGCCATTACGAAGTCTGCTAACTGTAGAACCATTCGAAGAAACAACAAAGCAGCGCTTACCAGCAGGCCTTGCAAAGACATACCTGATAGTATTTACTTTTTAGGAAATGCTTTAGATTCATATTGTTGCAGGTATGATGAAATAATTACAAATGATTTATTTCAAAGTCAAAGAAACAAAAAGTACACCTATCAAAAATGGGTGTACAAGTGCACTTTCTGTACAATATTATCAACATTCTACTATATCAATCAACCATTTCAGTCTCTATAAATATTTTTTTTCATTGCTGATATCCTATTATAATTCCAGTATATCCAATAGCTTATAGCCTTCCCATAGTTTCATGCTATTAATTTAATTTTTACTTTATTTTTAAAATTGCGCACATTGACCATATTTACTCTTCTAACCATACTTTACAAGGCACAAATGCAAGCAAAAAAATTACTTAACTGTCATGACTTAAATCCTTTGACCTTCAATATTCGAATTCTTTTAGCATTATTTAATTATTTATTTTATTCTATAGTTTTTATAAAATATCATGTTCGTATTATTTCATCAAAGATATAGTATCTTTCCTTCTCGCATCTTTAAAAAAATTTCTCTTTCCAGGTTTTGCTATATATTTTATTTCTGTCGTATATGACATAGTATTGACTATATTTTTCACATTAAATCTAATAATTTACATTAAGTGAAATGAAGAACATGTTAGTTTCAAGCTGCTAAAAGGTTGAGACATAGATAACTCAGAGATCAATGTGATCATAGAATGATTAAAAGCTTGTGAATGCTCAAAGATGATTCCAAATATAGAAAGAATGCCAATCGAAGGTTGTCTAAGCCTAAAAATTAATGAAATTAATGGACAATTATGTTTCTTCTAATTTAGCTCAATAACTCAAATTGGGTAAAATTGATTTAATTATCTAAAAATCTAACAAAAATAGTTTTAAACCTAAAAATCTAACAAAAAGAGTTTTAAACTTAAATATCACAATTGAACTTTGCTCATGCAGCTCTCGCAAAATTTCTAGATCAAATTAAGCATTTGTGATAATTTGCTAAAAATTGAATTTATGATTAAAATATGGGCCTAAAGAGTAGTTGTTTTATCTAATAAAAATAGAAGTTCATTTATATCCATTATCAAAAGCATTTTCTTGATCACTTTGATAAATAGATTTATATGTTAAATTTAACTTAATTTTAGTTTATAGGCAAAATACTAAAATTTCTATGTTTCTTCATTTGATGCCCAGTACTAAGCCCTAACAAAGAGGACCAAGCTAGGCCAAGTAGCACCCAAATTCTAGAAATTAGGTAAAGAATTTCGCAAATTTATAAAGTACACTAAATTTTGCATCCTCTGAAATTCAAATGAAAGATTTTTATAATATTCTACGCATGAAATTGATCAATTCAATATAAAACACTAAATGTAATTATGAATGATTTAAGAGATATAAAATTCTAATGCTATAGTTTTAATTACATCAATTAAATCTTAATTATTTTCCTAATCTCCTGCATCCCTCATTGTATCCAACCAACCTATCACGCAATATTTAGAGCTGAGTCGGTCAAATAGGATCCCTCCAGAGCCTTCGAATTTCCTCCCCTCTTCCAATTCCTTCTCCCTGGCCAAATTCGCTCTCCTAGAAGGATTTCTGCTCAAGCCACTGTAGTAGGGCGCAAACAAGGAAGACATGCACTGTAAGGGTGCTGCAACTTGCGCTAAGGGCTTCTGGGGCGATTTCAATGAGTATGAATCCCTCTTCCTCGCTATTCCAGACATTTTTTTCATTCCTCCCTCTTGTTTCTATTTTGATGTTTGCCTCGATTCGTGTCTCTTTTCATTTTCGATAGTCGTCGAAGACATCAAACTTTTGTCAGAAGTGTCTAAAGTAGTTTGCGAGATTCCATTAGCACAAAATCAGTGAAGGGGAAGAGAAGATTGAGCTGTTATGAAGAGTTGGGGAGAAAAATAGTCGCATCAAAGGGGTGAATTTATGCTAAGAAACATGTTTGACATATGTTTTTGAAAATAAATCATGTTTTGGGTTAAATCATGATACAAGCTGAAATTTCATGAATTCCTACGATGTATATGATTTACAGGTTATTTATATGAGGCTGTGAGCTTGAGACGAGCATGTGAGAACTCGTCATAGTGCTGCTTAGTCAAATCAGGTAAAATAATCGTGTTAAATCAAGAAAAATAATATTTTATAAGCTTTATGTGATTATATATTCGACACTGTTGCATTTAGACTTCTTGCATATTGTAGATGAATATTTGTTTGAAATGTATGAATGTCAGTCGATTTCTCTTATGATACATGTGAAGCTACTATACTATGATACATATAACTATGTTTATGAAATAATTATCAAAATATATTCATTTGTTGTGATTCATAAGTGTGATATATGAAATGTCTATAAATGTTTGTTACAAGTATTATACTTTAAGAAATATCAAAGGAATTTTATAGGTAGACTATTATATAAATGTTTGCAAGTACATTATGCAGGGATGTGATATTCCCGACTCTTGGTGTTCAGGAGGCGACGAAATTCTTAAACCATTTTGATCAAGCTGTGACAGTATGTAAGGGACCATTGGTATCAAGCAAGCTATTAATAATTGTTATGCAGGGAGGATCAACCTTTATAGATAATTTATATGACATTTGAGGCAGGGTAAAGACCCCTAATAATAGGAGATGAAAATAGTTGAGGCCTATACATTTACAAGTGACAGTACTATGAAATGACATCTATAAAATAAGTAAATAACATTACTATGATTATATATTATAAGCAGCTTATGAACATACTTTTGATTATACTTAAGATTTGTGTCTCATGTTTTACACATTAATCTTGTTTTTATATAGCAGGTTTTTTTCATATTTTATACGATTCTAGCATATTGTGACTTGTGTGTAGATATGTACATCTTCATGTGAGCAAACATATTACTTTTCTATATAAAAGAAATTTTAATTTAATCTTAATTATTTTAATGAACTCGTTATTACTCACTCTATGTTGTTACCTTTAAGGAAAAGATAAGGAAGACCAGAGTGAATAGTCAGATATGATTTGTACAATTTTGCAATGTATAGTTTTGGGAGCTTGTACAGCTTTTGAGTATATATTTTATTTAGGTTAGATTTAACGACTCTATATAGTTTACATATTTTGATGTTTTGATTTTTCATGCTTCTTACTATAAATATTAATACATTATAAAATGTAATGTATCACGTATGTTTGTGGCAATTTAGGTAGACTAATTCATCACTTACTGGGTCCTAATTCTGCAAGTCAGGATGAGTGTTCATAAGCATTAAGTCAGGCAAGATTGTCCACCTCTGTCACACTTAGTCGACCGTTAAAGGTGGGGAAAGTTGAGAAGCAACAGAAAATGTTATCATAATTAGGTTATTTGATGAAGAAAATGATAGAAGCGTGTTAGGCTTAGAAGTTAAAATGAGATCAAATCTGAATTGACTTATACAGAGATATATGTTGATGAATCTGCAATGGGTAACCCATACGACTTAAGGTATCATGCGTGCACGATAAAATTAATATATAATAAATTGCATTTGAATAATAATTGTCAATACCGATGAATACTCCTAAAGAAGAATCAGAAAGTACTAAGGGTCAATCTTTTAGGCCAAGTGCAGCGCAAAAAGTAAGATCTGAAAATATTTTGAATAGAAATGAAAATTAGAAAAAGACAAATCCGAACACTAGAGCCACTGAATGTTGATAACTGCTGATTAAATTAGTTGCAGATAGTTTTAGCATCTAAAGATATCTTTGAAGCTGCTGATTAAATTAGCTGCAAGCAAAATTTTCAAAATGTGAGATTTGGTTGTGAAGTATTGCATTTTTGGGGCATGCTATGAGCAGTTGAGGAATCTCAGTTGATCCTTAGAAGGTGACAGCAATTATGGAATAGTCAACTCCAAAGAATGTTATGCATATATACAGTTTCCTTGGATTCGCTAGATATTACAGGGTTTTCACAGATAGCTATGTCGTTGTCCAAGTTAACGAGAAAAGATATTCGATCTGAGTGGACTGCAGAATGTGAGCACAGTTTTCAAGCGTTATTGAAATATTTGACAATTGCTCGAGTGTTAACTATTCCATCAGATACGAAAGGATTTCAAATTCACACTGATACATCGTTGTAAGACTTGGTTTGGCTTGCATTTTAATGCAAAATAAAAAAGTTATAGCTCATGCACCCAGACGGTTGAAGTCACATGAAAGGAACTATCTGATGCATAATCTGGAGTTAGCTACTATAGTACTTGCTCTCATGATTTGGCGACATTACTTGTACGACATGAAATGACAAGTTTTTACTGATCATCCAATTCCAGAGTACATTTTCACACTAAAAGAGTTAAATTTGAGGAAGCGAAATGGTTAGAGCTGATCAAAAATTATGATCTGGATATATAATATTTTCCTGGCCAAGCAAATGCAATTGCGGATGCATTGAGCAGTAAATCCACACGTAATGCAAGCTGGATTATTACTCAAGAGCTAGAGTTGATTAAAAAAATTGATGTTTTACCGTTGGAATTTAGAAAACCAGAAGATAGTTGGTATTTACATCAGTTGACAGTGCAACCTACTTTGATAGATAGAATCAATACAGCTCAAAAAAGTAATAGTGAATATCTGAAACTTTTGAAACAACTTTAATCAGGAAAGAAGACCAAAATGACAGTTGATGAAGATGGTGTAATAAGAAATAAGTTGTAGTTATGGGTACCTACTGATTGTGATTTAAGATAGAAAATCTTACATGAGCTCATCATTCAGGTACAAAATTCATCCAGACAGCTCTAAAATGTACAAGGATTTGAAATTGATATTTTGGTGGTCAGGTATGAAGAAGAATGTTGCTCAATATGTGTCTCGATGTCGAGCTTATCAGATTGTAAAGATTAAGCATTACAGACCCAGCAGATTACTACAATCATTGTCGATACACGAATAAAAATGAGAATAAATTGCTTTGGATTTTATGATGGGAAT